ATCCCTCTTTTGATATATATATATATATATACATACATATACATACAAAAGAATTTACAGCTGTAGTTGGATCAAGACTATCTAGATAATTATCTAGTAACACTGGGTAAAACAGCTGGTTGTGTTAGTGTTGAGAAAAACATGAAATGTGCAGTTATGTCAAATTTAGATTAATTTCTAATCACTGTGTAATCTACCTAATGCTGAAATAAACTGGACTGGAAAACATTTTTTATTGTTTTGTTAACTCCGTGTTAATTTAAATAAAGCAACTGTTTATGCTCTTTAATAGGGATGCAGTGACATGTACATGGTTTTAGAAATTATGCCATAGTATGAAACTAAATGCTTATTATTTTCACTTAAATTTTATTTTAAAGGAAAACCTTTTTTTACGTGAAAATTTGAACTTGTTTAGATCTCATCTTTTTACCAGCCAAWGTTACTTGTAATCAAATATTTTTATTTTCCCTTGGGCATTGATAATCAGATATTTGCAAACTGTTTCTGAAACCTCAGTCTGGGAAATTGGCTTGTTTTAAATGCTTAAATACAACAATGCAGTTTAAAGTAAATGGACATATTTCAATGAAAAAAAATYCACTTTTTATTTATCTTGACTATTTACTTTTATCAAGTGTGTTGGAGCAGAGAAATTTCTAAAACGTACCGGATATGGGCCTTTTAGGACCATGATTAGACACCTCTGCAGTGAGTAAAGGCTCGTTTTCAATGATAGGTGATTTTATCTAAGAAAGCATGACWAGGTCCAAAAACTGAAGAATGCTAACTAAATGCTTGCCTGCACTATTCACATAATAAATGAAGTTATAATGTAATCCAATGGTCTATGCCAGTAAAAAAGTGAAGAATAAACGTATGAAATAAACTGCAATATACAGTATGTAGTTTTGTTTGTAATGTCTTTTTAGTCCAGCTTTTTTCCTTTAGTCCAGTAGGTGGCAGTAATGAGCATTTGAGCTGATTGCTAAAAACCTCAGCCTGTAAAACAACCCGAAGAAGTCGGTGAGGGGAAAACAAATATGGCGTCTCTGAGCAGCGATGAGTGGAGAGCCATCTGCGACAAATTCACCAACGCCCAAAACCTCGCCGATGTAGAATCTCGAAACGACCCAGAAAATGACCCGTTTCGTTCCAAGTACAAAGCCCGGGAGCTTCTCAGAGAAATCTACTGCTCACTCAAGAGTTTTGAAGCGGGTGAWGGCGAGGAGGAGGGCGGCGGGTCGACGGAGCGGCCGTTGGACGGCCAACTGGAGGATGCTTTCGACCGGGGACTTCACGGCGACTCTCCGGCGGGGATGCGGGCAGCTAAACTCGCGGCCGTGGAGTATTACCTGGGCGTCAACCACGTARATACAGAGGAGCTGTCAGCCGGACAGGAGCATCTGATGAACTCTATCAAACTGCTGGATAAATGCAGAGTGTCGGCGGAGAATGTGTCATTGTTTATTCATGTCAGGGTAATAACGAGCTTTGATATCATTAACAGCAGACATTATAGAAACATCTTGTTAACTGATTGTGTTCCGTTCTGTCAGAATCAGCTGGGCATCCTGTGGGCTGGCCGGGATGAGACTGAGACGGCTCAAGGCTACCTGGAGACAGCRGAATCTATCTACCAACGTTACATGAAGGAGGTAAGGCTGGTTTCCTGGCTGCTGGTGCTTTAACAAAAACTGTAGCGGTTAGGAGGGGAAAACTGCTTTGATCATGTTTGTATTAGGGTTGGGCGATATTGGCAAAAAAAATTAATCACGATTAATTATGGTATTTAGACGATAACGATTAATTTGACGATTAATCGCCTGTAGTCTCTGGACACCCTTATGTCCTGGTCTCATGACCAATTTAGTGGGAAAGATTCGCTCTTCRTAAAAATATTTTTCAAACTGTGTCCAAATCACAGACTTCAGGTTGTACATCAAAATTTAAATTGTGTTGATAAATAAATTACAGAACTTTTGTTTAAATATTTGTCATATTTGAAGCGGAGAGCGGACTGACCGGGGAAATCTCCAGTCAGTCTGCCTGGTGGCATTAATCATATTAATTGTCAAGTGCCAAAAAATAATYGATTAATGGTTGTTTTGTTTTTTGTTTTTGACGATTAATTGCAGACGATACGATTATGCCCAACCCTAGTTTGTATCTTTAGCTGACTATATTTTCAGGTCAGGCTTAGAAATAATGTGATAGGAGTTTTTGTGATCTATTGTAGGGACAGGCAATAAAAAAATGAAAAATGACTGAGGTGCTAAATGAGAATAGGACTCGTGCTCGTAWTTTATCCTTAATTTCTACCTTTTTTAGGAAGGGCTGAATGAATATGCCACGTCAGATTCAGCAAAAGCTTCTAACTTTAATGAGCAACATAAACATGATGAATGCCACCTGAGGCACATTTCACAAAAGTCAGATTTCTAAATTCAGGATATGAGCTGTAAGCTGAGCTTGAATGGTGAATGGTAAATGGTAAATGAACTGTACTTATATAATGCTTTTCTATCCATCCAGGACACTCAAAGTGCTTCACAGTACAATCTGTGTCCTCATTTACCCATTCACACAGCACTCTATTAGGTCTCTACAAAGCTAATGTGCAATCATCTGTGGAGACTAATCAGTGCCAATCACATTCAGACACTGATAGGACACATCAGAGGCATTAGGGGTGAAGTGTCTTGCCCAAGGACACAACAACTGAGACAGATGGATGGGAGATCGAACCGGCGACCTTCCGGTTCCGGGACGACTCCCCTAACCACTCTGCCACAGTCGCTCTTGAACAACCCTTCAACTTGTTAACAGCTGTAATCTGTTGCTCTAACGCACGGTTACGGTTTGTTTACTAGACCCATCAGGTGGATCAAAGATTTCCTGATCAAGCGCACGCAGTAAGACACGTCTCACTTCTTCCAGCAGTGTAATGCTTAATTATGATTCATATGAAGAGAAACACMGACTGAATGCTGAAATAATTTCAAAAGTAAGAACTTTTTGTGCCAGTGAATCTGTAAGTTATCTGAAATTAACAAAATGAACAAAATTAAAATGAACAGCTGATGGATCGCTTAAAATGATGCTGTAGGAAAAGACGAGGGACAGGGGTTGGGGGATTGGGCAGCGGGAGGGGTTAGAAGCTGAAATGCTGGGGTCTCTGCAGGCGGTTGTGTGTTGGGGATAGACAGGGGTGGGAAGGTGTCGTGAAGGTGGAGGGGTGTGGCTTGCAACAGGCACAAACATGGGGGGGACTTGGCATATTATTTTAAAAACTATTTTAAAGGTGAAGCTGAGGTTAATTCTGTTTTATTATTATTCTTTTTCACAGATAATCTGATAAATAAATAAAATAAATATATTTATTATTTTAATGCACAGAAAAAACGAATAAATTTAATAAGTGTATGAAACACTGATTTCTGATCAGACGCTGCAAAAACTGTTTTAATTTTGCCGGATCGCCGTCCGCTCACCGCCGCCCTGCGCAGCCAGTGTAAACACGCTCAGTGATTATAACGGGTGCGTATTTGCTGCAGAGATCGGACCGTAGCGAAGCGGAGACGAAACGCAAGTACCGTAGTATAAATTGGGGTAAGGCTTCTTGGAGTAAAAAAAAAACTTTTCAGGTTAACAAGATTAATAATCCAACATATTCTGATCTTGTTTAGTATATCGTTCTAAAAACAAGATCAAAAATACTTTTTAGCTGATATAAGATTGTAAAACTTGATTAGATGAACAGTTTTTGCAGTAAAGCGATCTGTTTGTTTTTTTAGCAGTGTCAGCTGTGGATCTAAAAAACCTGCTAAAGCCAAAGAATGGGAAGAAATCACGTCTGCAGTTCACGTTAATGCTGTGTGTCCTGTGGGTTGCTACAGTTAGTGACTGTACGACCCACAAGTGACATAAATATCAATAAATTGAATTAAACAACCACCTTCCAACCAGTGCTCCAACTGTTTTGCAACTTTTCCCAGTCCTGCTTTGCGCTGCTGACAGTCTTCCTGCACCCCAACCCCCAAGGGGGCCCAGTGTGTCAGTATCACAGGAAAACGTGTTTCGCACACCAATGATTGTTGTGTTTTCTGTGACTTCTCCAGGATGGGAAGCCACCCACTGACATGACAGAGTACTTTAGTACTGAGGAGAACTTGTTGATGCACCAAGAAAGGACCAAGAGGTACTTTCGAAACTCTGACGTCCACATGCAAGGCATCCTCATGCACAAACATATTTGAGTTGACTTAATTTTGCTTTGTTTCTACYTTTTAATTACGCCTCTCGTTAAATCTCCCCTGCCATCAGGTTTGARCTGGCTTACACCCACACCATGTACTACCTTGCTCAAGTTTATAAAAACCTTGGTGAGTTATTGGTTGGTGTGGATTAAATACAAATAAACAACGTTTAATGTATTTGTAGCTTCTGTATTGAATTTGAATGTGATKGTGTGCAAACAATAAAGATGAGGGTTTTTTTAAACATTATTTGATGGTATTTCTAATAAGTGATTTTGTTTTTCAGGTGAGAAGGAGCGTGCTGCCACCTACTGCCACAGCACCCTGCAGAGACAGTTACAGTTGAACCAGTTCAGCCCGATGGAGTGGGCCCTGAATGCTGCTACGCTGTCTCAGTATTATATCACAAAGGCATTGATTTTAACCAAAATTATTTAGAAGCTCAGATCTTAAAGGTTTTTTTTATTTGAGGCTCACTTAATATGAGCATAAACAACGTTGGCATTATGGCTTTTTTTTTCTGCTGCTGTACTTTATTTTTCAATGATTTTGGGGTGGTCAGAGGGTCCGGTGGCACTGGTGCATGGCAGCCCCACCTCTGTCAGGCCAAGCATCTTTGAGCATCTTAAAAATGTGCTATATAAGTTTGATTTTTTATTATTATTATTGTTATTATTATTATTATTATTATGAAGATTGTATATTTTTATTATTCTCAGGGCCGATTCATGGAAGGCAGACACTGCCTTGCAGCAGCTACTGTGATTTCAGGCTTGGCAGGAGAGGTTCCCTCTGAAGCAGCAGCACGGGAGAGTAAGTACCTACTCATAAATCACTTTATTAAAATGCATGTCGCAGCCAGGGCTTCTTCACAATTCTGAAAGGTGTAGACAGTGGTGGGCAGCATTACTCTAATTATTAGTTGCACTAACCCTAAAGTTAGGGGACCTCAGATATTTAGGTCCCCTAACTCTAAAGCACTAATCCACTGAAAAGTTTAGCAAAAGCTAATTCTAAAGCACTAATATAATTCAGCTGACACATGAAACGTTCTTCAGTCAACATGAGACAATATTTGCTGTGTGCAGAATATTGCCACTTAGTGCCCTTGGTGGGCCAAATGGTAGTCAGCCACAGGCCACATTTGGCCCGCGGGCGTTGAGTTTGACACGTGACCTTGTAGATATGTGACACGCATATGAATAAAATGTATGGTAAATACATAAAATGTATGACGACTTTCACCCTCAACTGTGAACAATGTTGATCAATAACATTTATAGACCTCAGTTAGTGCTTCAAAATTTAGCCCAAAAATTTAGCAAGTGCTAATCCACTAACAAATTTAAAAAAACAACAAAAGCCCTAAAGCATTAATAAGGAAGTTAGTTCCCCTATTAGTGCTTTAGGGAAACTGTGCCCACCACTGGTTGTAGAATTGACCGTTGCCATTAGGTTTAAGGTTAGGTTCAACCAAACAGCAGCTGATGTGTTAAAAATAAAAATAAAATTGATAAAGTATAACTTCATAAGATGCTCAACGTTCCTCATTTTAACACAATGGCAAGACTGCTTTTCCATATACTGTAGGAGTTCTCACAATAGTATTATAATATTATCTATCTAAATATTCTGCTATTATTACGATTTTATTCTCATAATTAAAAAAGAATTCTCTTGGTCTAATCAATCTGACAGGGTAAAACATAAACTGAAGCAGTTCAAGGTATTTTTGTTGTTTTGATGTGATATTCCWTTCTCTTCATCTAAATTTTTTTTCATTCCTTTTAGCACATCATAACTTCTTTTTCCATCCGACCCAGGTGAAACGGAGAATGAGCGCAGGGAGCAGCTCCGACAGAAGAGAGCAGAGATTGCAAGATGTTGGATTAAATACTGTCTAAATATCCTGCAGGATGCCAAGAAACTGCTGGAGGTACTTCACGTGTAAAGGTTTTTTTTTCCCACAGGCTTATTGGAAAATAAGAATTTCTTCATTATTAAAAAAATTTAAAAAGTAGTAACTAAATATTTTGTGGGTGTACATTCAGGACAACATCGGTGAGCTGGATACTGATCGTCAAGATGAACTGAGGAGAGCAAGAAGGCAAGAGGAGGAGGAGGAAGAGAAGGGGAGGAAGAGCGCTCTGCTGTTTGGTTCTGAAGACACCTTTGATTCYATCGCAAGTGTGGAAGAAAAGGTCTGTCTGTTGACCAACTTTGATCACACATGAACAACAGAATCTTAATAACCAGACTTACAATGATCAGTGAGCAGTTTGAGAGTTGAAGATAACTTCTAACGTTTACCTGTTTGTGCTACAGACAGCTGGAAGAAAAGGCTGCCTAATATTTTGTCCTTATTGGCTTTTTTAACTTTACATTACTTTTACATAATACTGAACAGTTATAAAACCATTGTTTTCTTTACTTTTATTTGTGTAAAACGCTTCAATTGATACCTCAACTTTGATATATAAGTATTTTAAAAATCTTATATTTATAATTGGGTATTGAATGGGAATACTTTACATCTCTGATATTATTATTATTATTAGGCATAAAATATATGTAAAATGAACATAGTAATATTTGGAGTGAAGATATTTGGTTAGATTTGTTTATGAATATAATCAATCTTCCACCAGAGGGAGCTATTGTCTCATTGAATCTTTGTAACATGTAATTTATAACAGATTTTTTTTCCCCTCTTTTACAGGTGATGTGTTTACTCCCTTTGGACTTCACTGAAGCCAGAAGTGTGTTTTTGGTGGGACAGAACTATGTAGCGCAGGTGTGCACAATGTTTAATTTCTATTTGTTCAAACTGTAGTTGGCTGATCTGTAGAGTACTTCAATGCATTTGTATAGAGGTAGACAAAACTGTTCAGCAGCAATGAATGTTTTATTACATCGTTGTAATCCATTACCTGTATGTAACTCAGTAGATGAAAAATGTTTAGAATTATGTTTATGAAATTATACTTGCGCTTCAGAGGCCCAGAACATACATGCATTTCTACAGTAAGCCCAAAGGTTTTTAGGCTAAATAGTTATATTTTAGTTTGATTACAAAACTATAACATAAAATGAAAAGTTTTGGATAGATCAGCCATTACAAAGTCAGAAAATCAGAAGCTGAGTACTATACAGAAAAACATCTTAAGACAGCACTAAGTTACATCACATCCGTTTTTAATACAGTTTCATCATATAATGGGTTTAGTCAGAGAAACATTTTCTTTTACATTGTTGTTGTGTATGTGAGTGCTTAAAGTGCACTCTTCCTGAAAGCCTTCCATGTATCACAGAGGTCTAAATGGCCTCCTGTGTTCAACAGTGTTGAATCTGGTAGTGGCCATTCTGAAGTCATCTCTATCCATTTTTCTGTTCCCAAGGCTAAAGAGTACTATCAGATGGACGGGTATGTGACGGACCACATTGAGATCCTGCAGGATCACAGCGCTCTGTTTAAGGTCCTGGCTTTTTTTGAAGAAGATCTGGAGCGTCGATGCAGAATGCACAAAAGACGTGTTGACATGTTGGAACCCATCTGTAATGGTACAATTGATGTTTTCTGTTATGGTCTCCCTTTTGAAGGAAGTTTTGTCACCTTTTTGAATATTTGTCACGGTTTTGTTTCCTTTGATGAAATGTCTTGCGCTCTGATTTATGTTTTTGTTTTTATTAGACTTGAATTCTCAGTACTACCTACTGATCCGCAGACAGCTGATGTTCGAATTGGCTGAGACCTATAATGAAATGATGGACGAGAAGCTGACTCTGGCCAACAGACAAGCAGATCTGCAGTCTTTAGACAACCACACCATCAAGAAAGTCAACCAGCTCTGCTCCGCCTCTGCAAAGTACATGTCTGGTTTTAGTTTGAAGCAGCAGCAGTGTGTGTTTCTGTCAGCGTAGCTTAAATAACTTATCTTCTCCTCTCCAGGTACTTCCAGATGTTCCTGGACTCTTTGTGCTCTCCACAGGGAAAGCCTCCTGAACACCTGGAAGAGGAGGTGCTCAGACCAGCTCTGGTGGCCCATTTCAGAGTCGCCCGACTTTACAGCAAACTGATCAGCACTTCTCCTTCGGTTCAGCTGGAAAACCTCAACAAATCTCTGGAAAACTACAAGTATGATGGCAAATATGTTTATTTCTATACACATGGTGCTTAAAAATATAGTAGGGGGCATAAAAAATGTAGCTGGTCAGATATAAAGGAACACGAGGCGTTAAGAATAGATATTGTTTATTGTTTCATCTCAAACTGTCCTGTAGGTACGTGGTGCAGTATTGTGAGGAGCACCCTGAGGCAGCAGCCGCCGCAGAGACAGAGCTGGAGCTGAGTAAAGATATGGTCGGCCTCCTTCCTCTCAAAATCAACCGCCTCAAGTCAAGGATGACTGCAAACGACTGAAGAACCTTCTGTTTACTGTGTGTATTTTCATTTTTTTTTTTTTTTATTTTGTCCTGTGTTGTGAGCATGCTGCTTTCAAAATACTGTTAAGTACAATACAGGCTGTACATACTGTGTGTGCTCTCATAAGCATAATAAATATGATGCTCACTTAACTTTTGATTCTAATTTACAAACGCACTCTGTTCAGTGTTAACAGTGCCACAACTGTGCTACTAGGGAGGCAAAAGGCAGTTGGGAACTGATCCGGTTCTGTTAGCCCCTCCAGAAAAATGTCTCCCTATAAATTTCGATGTAGTTCCTCACTAACCCTTCCACCACACACTCACTCACGCCCACCCGCGTAACTTTATCATCATAATGTTATTTTACCAACGAAACGAGCTGCCCGTAATATATTTTGCCAAATCAGCTGTATTGATTTGATTTCATAATCTTTGATTCAAACGTCGTTTTTCTTAACTTAATGCTGGTTCTCGTTTACTGTAGTTTCTATTTTCTAAACGTTTTCTTTGATTCTGCCTCACATTGCAGCACAGATGTCGGCGCACACTCAAACCAGGATTCTTGTGGTGATGACAATAAGCAGCTTGAGGTGAAGTTGAGTCAGTTTTAACTGAAAGCTTATTCAGAAATGGGAGACGCTGTTTCTGTGAAGTCAGAAAATCTGCTGACATGTGGACTTTGTTGTGCTGCTAGATTAGCTTACATCATACTCTGCATGATCGTCTTCTGTCTATCTGTTCTATCTTTGTTATAAGAGTGTAAGGCTGAACCCTTACACACCTAACTTTTGTGCTGGTGCGCCTAAGAAAAAATGTCAGGCGCACCGGTGCAACCAGTGCAAAAAGTTAGTCTAGAGCTTGTATGTAAAACTGAAGCAAAAAAGTCTAAAACTGTCCAATAAAGCTAAATTCATCTGAAGTAAGATGTGGCCATTCTTTAGTCGTTTTGCTCCTGTTTATGTGGTCAAGTCAGTTTTATTTATAAACTAGAAGCACGCTGAGAGTGCAAACCTCCGTCAAAGGACAGATGGAAACACATTTGCCGAATAAGTTCTGACGTAGTTAACATTTAAGCAGGCAGTATGCACGGGCTTTCAATCCGGTGGAGTTCAATGCAAATAAAAAGGCAGACTCGTCACCCAACRTTATTCATCCACAAACTGGTCCCAGGTTAAGCTTTTAAGTTTTCATCAGACAGATTCCATCATGTAAAACGTCTGTTTTATCCCGATATGAGTTTTTAATGGTTTGACTATCTTTCTAAACTACTGAATCCTGTTACAATCGGCTCAGCGTCTGAGTGCTTTTAGCACAAACAAACACTCCCATGAACTTCTGACAAAGCACACAATAAAGTTCTTATGTGGAGGGGGTACCTCACATGGTTGATCAGCTGTTCCCGCTGTTAGGTACCAGCTTCGGCACGGCTACAGCTAGACCCTTCCCCGCTGTGAGCATCTTCTCAGTTATTCCCGTAATGTGAAGAGAATCACATTTCTTTTTCTACGTCTCCAGACAGCATGTAACTTCACCAATACTAGTTGATAACAGAATAATCCTAACTTTCCCGATAGTAGGCATCCTGGGAGGTGTAGTCCCAGCGAGTTTGCGACTTATATTTCCTGTTTCCTACAGGCATGCGTCTGACGTCATGACACTTTGCGTAGCCRGGCTGATTCGGTTGAATTAAAAGAAAAATTCCTGTATCCGCATCGTGATCTGCAACATCACCAAAATTTAATGATGTGTTCCTTGGGCCAATACCCACATGTGTTTAAAATGTCATGACAGTCCGTCCACAAGTTTTTGCATAATATTGTCCACAGAACGACAGACAGACATACGCGACCGAAAACATTACCTCCTCCTGGCGGAGGTAAAAATGAACATTCTGAACTTGATAAGCAAAGTGTTATCAGTTTATCGTTCTTTATTATCACCATGAAACTGAGTTAATCTGCTCATCTTTCAAAAATAACCTGACATTGCCTGAGTCAGAGGTTGTGTTGCAAACGTCGGAAGGAGCAGATTTGCGAAAGAAGTCAGATGTTTGCTCTGACACATGATCAGTATCCTGCCGATTGTTGGTGATACAGATTTAACACAACTTTTTTTTATATATTATGTAGTTTTGTTGCTTCCTCTCTGCAGACTTTAGAGGTTTGTGGTGAAGTTGCAGAGGTGGAAGACTGAGCAGCTGACACCACGGGCAAACTGGTGACACCACGGGTTTCATGATTGATGTTTACATTGTCGGGCTAAAACTATCCATCACATTTTACACTGAAGYCACAAAACAGCCTGTGTGACGGCAGATGGCAAATTGATGATTTCCCTCTGGGTTACGGGATGGCAACATGCTAGTGTCGAGGAGTTTAGAGGACAAAGTTGAAGCCTCTAAATTCGTTTTACTAAAAACAACAAACTACTTAACATTGTTCACTGTGTAAATATATTTTTAAAAGAGAAAAACAACATCTTAATCTTCTTAAATTAAAAAAAATGATTTATTGAATCTTGACACTGAAGAGTTTATTAAAAAATGTATAAATGTATAAGTTTAACATATTTTTGGCTTTAGGATTACATTTTCAAACATTTTTAAGTTGTTATTAATCCGATTTTCTGAAATTCAGTAGCTAAAAGATGATTCTGATGAACCTATAGCTTATTACACAAAGGTTTAGAAAAACATTAGTTAGGCATGTTTTTATTGATAAAGGGAAAATAATTTGCTATATATCATGAATTACGTGACAGATACAACAGCCAAGTTGTTTATGTGTAAGGTTGTTGCTTTTCTTCAGATTTTTTCTTTGCTCCTACTGGTCACTCTGGMTGATATATCCCCACTGATCCTGATTCACACTCACATGAACCAATAGGTCAGCAAAAGTGGAAAGCAAAAGTTTATCCTATCTGTGGGGGGAAATAAAACCTGATGACATGAATCTATACCGGAATGATTGAATAACTTCCCCTTCACAACAGCAAACGGACAACCTTTAAAAAAATGACTCACATTTGTCTTTTTGTGCTTCTGTTGAAGTGTAAAACATTCCTGTTGCTTTTCCATGAATGTTAAYGAGTCTTTATGTTTATATTTCTGAATGTGTGAGTGTGAAAACAGCCCTATCATCAACTCTGGGTTTCTCRGACATTAAACTTGATTCCACATAATGAGACAGGAAAGGAAACCGAGCTGACTAAAAAATACGGCCATAGATGACATTCTGGCTGCTGCTGGAAAAACAACTCAGTTCAACGCAAGTGAACAGACACATCTGTACGAGTTTTAAGAGATCAAACAATGACAGAAGACCTTTATAACATAGTGTGCTTCCTTATATTTGTCACTTACTTTTCTGTGTTTGTACTTTTTAAAACCTTTTTGGAACCAAGTCAGGAACCAAAGTTTGATCAGCGACACATCATCATTGGGTTGAGTTTAAAGCTAAAGTCTGTTCTGAGTTTAAGTTAGGCTAAGCTAAGGTAAGCCAGGCATATAATATTTTTTTGAGAATAGAATTATAGTCTTAGTCTGAATAGATGTCACAACAATGTCCTGAGCAAAATAGAAATATCAACCTGTGTGTGTG